AAAAACTGAGACCATAGTTAGCAAACTAGTGACCACTAGGCAAGTCCAGATCCCAGATATACATAATTTAATAAAACATAAGTTACTGTTTTAATATCAGGTAACTTGGGCTCTGTGCCTGTAGCTCAAGTGGCTAGGGTGCCAGTCACATACACCAGAGCTGGCAGATTTGAATCCAGCACGGGCCCGCCAAACTACAGTGACAGCTACAACCAAAAAATAGCCAGACGTTGTGGCAGGTGCCTATAGTCCCAGCTACTTGGGAGGCTGAGGCAAGATTGCTTAAGCCCAAGAGTTGGAGGTTGCTGTGAGCTGTTCATGCCATGGCACTCTACCCAGGGTGACATAGTGAGACTCTGTCTAAAAAATAAAATATATATATAAATAATATAATTTATATATATAATATAAATATATATTTATTCATATATATATATAATATCAGGTAATTTGGCCCCAGTAGATAGTTGAGTTTGCAACTGTATCCACAGAGCTATTTGTACCATTAACCATGAGTTAACTTCCCATCATCTTCCAAACTTGAGATACAAGGTCCCATCACTTCCGTGTGATGGAGGATCCCTTCAAGATTTCACAGCACTTACTCAATTGAGAGATGCTGTCATTAGGGAATGTGCTTCTTCCCCCCTCAGCTCTTCCACTGTACAAGAAGAGAGTAGACATTCCAAATCCAACTGGACTAAGGCCAGAGTAATTTGAACCTCAACCATAAATTACACTGAAATGACTTTAGTTAAACCTAAGGCATAGGAATTGAACTGCCTAATGAAAGATACCTGAATTTTTTCAGTCTTTTTTTTTAAAGATGTCTATGTTTTCTCTCTTTCTTTTCTATCAAGCATCTGAGCAGCAGACTTCTTTTTCTCTTGAGAGGTTCATTGAGCGTGGCTTCCGTAGTTTTGCCAAGCGGCCTTTGATCCGTCTCTAAGCAAATGTACACAAAACCAGTTCTGGGGCTGAAAGATAACCTGAGCAGGGGAGCGGGGCTGTGTAGCTCCCACGGCCTCGGCCATGGGCAATCAGAACAAAGTGCAAATCGCTACTGATGAGAAAGATGGTTTTTACCACTTCCTGACAAGCAGCCAACTGTTTTTTGTTGTTCTTGTTGTTG